GTTTTTTAACCTCATTGAATGACCCAAGTCTAGTGAGAAGCATATGCAAATGTTTTAATCATGCCTATTTACTTTCTCTATTTGTGATGCTTTGTTGTCTCTTGGTCTTGCTGACCCTGAAGGGACTGTTACAGACTGTTAGCCAGTTCCTTCCAGAGGTGATGAACTCATGCCCGAGAGTACACTTCAGATGTGACATGCTATTCCAGGGGTTGAGCATCCACATCTCCAGGGTTCATGACTCTGGTGATGAGCAAAGGATTCCGCCCTAATCACACAGGGCCAAAGTCCAAGAAATCAATGCCTATACTTTGGAACCCACTGGCCTGCTTTGCCTTGTCTCACCCATAGAAATCACAGAGAACACCCTCCTCCACGTCCTAACCACTCTTTGCAGCCCCACAGGCCCCTGAATAGTGTGACATGCCTCTTCCTCTTAGTTGAGTAACAACCTGTCCTTTCGGCATCACTTGTCTCCTGATGATAAAAACATACATTTTGAAATCATGGTTAATAGACTCTTAGGATCTTAAAGAAGCATCTAATTGTATTTTAACAATGATTTATTGAACACCTACATGCAAACGTCACTCTGTTTCTATGCTTACTCAAATTGCTAGAAAAACACCAATTCTTGTTCCATTCTATAATTTCAGTGGTATTTAAGTTTTAAGATTGACTCATTGTATTCAAGGGACATATTCATTATTCTCAACATAATTACCATCATACATAACATTCTTTTGACTACCCAGAACTGCAGCAAGCTATGAAGTCAGAGATGGATGATGGGGACATTTTCTAGGCCAGGACCCTTGAGGAGCTGAGTAGTGGCAAGGTTTTGTCTTTGGGAAAGGTATGAGGTGAGAGTGGAGTTAAAAAGCATATTCTTGTCATATTTCATATTGTAGGAACTGACATAGGATCCCAGTACTCTGAAGCAGGACATGAGCCCTATCACTTGTCCCTCGGTTTTCTATCTCTATGCTTACATTCATTTCATGAAGTAAATTACATGCTTCAGTCAGTCTATTCTAATTTATGACGAGTGACCTTCATGCACCACGCTGCTTAGATTACTCCAGAGTGTGGCCTATCAGTTCAGATTAGATTCTGCATCCTGATTGGAATTCTCGACTTTTACCAAGACTACTGAGATTATACTTTGCATTAAATATTAATATAAGATGAAGACATGATGTGCCTTTTTAGCTAAAAGCCATACTGAAAGAAAAATGATAGATTCTTCTCCCTTCTCTAGCTGTAAGCAAATGAATTGAAAGATGATCATGTATTTCTTAAACTGGCAAGTTTTTAATATACTTAAAATTGCATTTTGATGCTATAATCTTTATTTCCATATGGGAAAAGTGATATACTCACTAACCTAAAACATATGTCTTGACAATAGACAGTCCAGCTAAGGTGAATGGATGTATTTTGCTGGTCTGAAAAAAGGCTGTTATTTCAAAGAATAATAATAATAATAATAATAATAATAATAATGCTGCAATCAAGAGTACAGCCTACAGGAAGATTTTCAGTCCCCAGGAACATTGTTTCACTGCTACTAATTCTAAAAAGATTGTCTATAACAATGTTAATATACCATCTGTTGGGTATGGTGACACATACCTTTAATCCCAGAACTCGAGAGGCAGAGGCAGGTGAATCTCCGAGAACTCTCAGTCTTGCCTACAGAGTGAGTTTAAAAACCAACTCATACACAATGAGACACTATCACAAATTTCACGACAGCAACAAAAACCAACAACCTCCCCAATAACATCCCCAGAATGTGAGTACTATATGACAGAGGGTGGCAGTTGTATGACAAAAGTCTCCACTAATTACGTCATTATGAAAAATTAAACTATTAAACCACTTGCAAAAATTTAGGTTCAGTCTTTGAAATGAGACAACGTATTAGTGATGATTTTTTTGAGGCTCAAATATAATGCTATTTTAGTTTTCAAGTGATTTTTTTTTGGTTTTTAAGACTGTACAATAGACACTTCAAACTGCATGGTAGGCCAATCATTAACATTATAATTGATCGTGAATGGAAGGTTGATAATTTCGAAATAAAATTTCTTTTTAATCTTTAAAACTTTGAATTAAGTCTACATTTGTTCACTAAAAATTTTTCCCCCTGATTCACCTGTAAGGCTGTATTTACTTTGATGGCTGCAGCTACCAAATCTAAGTCTGCCTAAAGGATCTGTCTGATCTTCCATAAGAAGCCACTGAAGTGAACATTAGTGCCTTTGTGAGAGAGACGGGTCCACACCATGCAGAAACCTTACAATTCAGACTGACTTGATAATTAAATGATAACAGCTGTGTCTAGCTGACGGCAAGAGTAGGGCCTGGCGTACTGGATCACAGTCTCAGACTCTTAGTCGGAAGGGCATTTTAAATATCTTTTAACTCAGTCACTCATTTAAACATCGCCTTTCCGCATCTCCATTCTTGGCTGAATACCCTTTGGCTTCCAAGGCAGCCCACTGCTTTTTGCAATTTCCCTATCTATCCTATTGGAAAACATTCGCGTTCGTGTTAAGCTCCTTCAAGCTGAAAGAGAAAAACAGGGTACCACCCATTAGAGATGCAGCGTTCACACAGGTCAAGCATATGTTGATTGCCTCTAATGAGAGGATGGTCCGGATGGCATTCCCTACAGCGTGGCTTGCACTGACTTCAAGCAGCTTTGAGTGGGATAAATAATATCCAGCCACATGGAATGCTGCTTGGTCTCAAGTTGTCTTTTGGACCACGTAGAGAATTGCCTGTATTGGGAACTGTGGGACTCGAGGGAGAAAGTTTCCCTGGGAGTCCTCCTTCAAGTTTTCCAGATGACCATACATACCCATAATTAATTACTAAACAGAAGAGACTAGATTGACACTCGTGAATTGGATGAGGAAGTTTGGGGAACAAGTTATGCAGTATTAGAGGGCTTGGATTTCTTTCTTTAATTCTACCAGTGAGCTTTATAACCCTAGAGTGCATTCTGTGATTCTCACCTATAAAGGGAGACTACATATGTTTTGAATTCAGGGTTGTTACAAAGATCAGAAGAAACAATGAATAGTAGGACTGGAAAATGAAACCTATGCCCCTTTCCTCTTTGGATTTAGCAAGAACGTAACTTTGGAGGCCTAATATCTTAATGGCAGTTGAATGAACTAATATGTACTTACAAACTCTGGACCTCACATTAAGCAATTGCCATATCAATACAAAATTTAAATCATTTAAAGACTTTATTTCCATTTTCCGTAATGTTGAACATTTCAGGAGTCGAGGCAAAAACTGAAATGACAGTTTTAAGATACTAAATATAAAGATGAAAACAGCAGTTGGAGCCCATCGTCTGCTACTTCTTATCACTGCTTCGTGCAGTTCATATACACATGCAATAGATAGTGCGTATATATTATATAATAATATACAATATAGTCTATTTTGTGTTTTGGGGTTATTTCCATGTTTCTTAGTTCAGCCTTTCTCATATATCCTGCTTTGACCACATTAAAAGTTCACTTATTTAGGTTCAATCAAATACTAAAGATAAACTGGCTTTCAGTTTTGTTTTTTAAGATAAATTTTGGGTTTCTTTTCTTAAGATCCTTCACAATTATTGTCTATGGCCTTAAGAGACAGACTTTGGGTTGTCAATGTATAATTAGCAATGATATTCATAAATCTTTGCCTGGATCTAGAGTCAGATGAAGAATGATAAGATTTCAATTTTGAATCATTCTAACAATTGAGGATGAAATTGTAAAAAATGCACAGGTCTGATTTTACCATTTACTTTCAAGTATTTAATTGTCAGCATTGCTGTGTTCGGCAACCTCAGTCTTCTGGATAGAGCATTGGGAGCTTTCAGTTCTATGGCAGTGTGTGACTGTGTTTACTCAGTTTTACATGTTCGGGACCATTCACAGCCTCAGGGAGAAAGGCAACGCTTGTGTCATGAAAGTTTGCAAATACTGTCAAAATCCTGTTCTTCTGTTGGTTTCGAGAAGCCCTACATTTTCCTTCTCGTCAAAACGTCAATATACGAGAATGGTACCCTTGAGATTCTGTTTCGATAACAGGATTAAAGTTAGAGAAATCTGAGTCCCAATGTGCCCTGCAAAGAGTTAGATTTTGCATATCTTTAGGGAAAAAAATACACTCTGCTAATTTTAACTGACTTGTGTGTAAGTTTGAGTAAGCAACCATAATATTGATAGTGAAAATTCCTTGGCTCCTGCAGCTGGTGTAGAATACCATTCCATGAAAAGGGATTTGGGTCCTCTCTGACCAAGGGAGCATTTCCCTTCATATAATACTTATTAGAAATTTTACCACAAATTTCTCTGCCTCCAAATCACAGCACCTTCAGTATAAACCAGCATGCTTTCCTTCTGATGAGCAAAGGCTCCATCCTAACTTATACAGTATCACTTCTTTGACTTGTGTCTACTTTATGGCCTCCCATTCGGTTTGTTATGCCAACCTCATTTCAATCCACCATGACACCTTAGTTTTATTTGCATTTCTGGATATACTGAGTCCCATTTTCACCATAATGTATTCTTGCCCACCTTGATGACAGTTATTCTCTGAACTGGGGGGAGGGGGCTTGTGTTCTTATAATACCACGTGACATGAAGTCACAGAATATTTCATTCTGCTATAGACTTATTTTATTTTTGTCTCTCAGTGCACTGCAGCAGGAAGCTCCTGTATAGGAGATGTGTATTAGGAATGCTGACCATAAATTAAAGCTGTCAAAGCACCAAACCCAGGGATAAGTGCACAGTACAAACTCAAGAGCCATACATGGAAAGGACAGAATACCAAGATTTTAATGGCTACTGTGAGAGCTGCTTAAGGAAAGCCAGCACAACACAACCTTGAGGCGATTTCCCCGCCCCCCCCCCCCTTTGCTCCTTCCCTTGCCACTGTAAACGAGTTCAGGGCAGTAGTCAGCGTGGGTTACTTACTAAGGCAAATTTTTTGTTGAGAATCATCTGCTCTACTAAAGAGGACTCGTTGTGGAAGAGGTGGGGCTGCATGTGACTCCACATGTGAGGAAACCACCAGAACTCATCCACAGACCCCAGCAGGAGGTCATCCCCTTCATCTTCCTCTTCGGTCCCTGTAGGGGCAGAAGAAATGATTATTCATTTAATTACAAATGCATTTTCATCTTATTTGCCTATCTGTCTGTCTGTTTGTCTATCATTTATCTATCTCTCATCTATCTCTATCATTTATCTATTATATTTATTATATATCATTTATGTAATATCTATCTACTATACATCTATCATCTATATTAGTACTTATCTATCAATCAGTTATCATGTAATTTATTTAGAAGACACAATTATCTCACATGCACACAAGTCATTGAACCTAAAATTTAGTGAAGGAAACTCTGTTAAGGAATAATTAGAGGCTGTGACAAAACTTTTTAAAAACGTAATTTTAAATTATGTACACGTGTATTTCTGTATGTGGGCATCTGTATGCATGCGTGGTGCCAGCAGAGGCCAGAAGAAGTGTCAGAGCGCCTGGAGCTGTGTTACAGCTGGTTGTGAAACACCTGACAGAGGTCAATGTTGCAGAATATTTCATTACACTGTGTGAAGATGTGTCACTGTGATTGGTTAAATAAAGAGCTGAGTGGTCAACAGCTAGGAAGGAAGAGGTTAGGCAGGACTTCTGGGGACAGAGAAGACTCTGAGAAGAAGAAAGGTGGAGACACCAGCAGATTCAGAGCAAGTTGGACATGCTGTACTGAGAAAAGGTAAAAACCACGTGACTGAAAATAGATTAATAGAATCAGATTAATTTAAGGTATAAGAGCTAGTCGGGGGCAAGACTAAGCTTTCATAATTAATAAGTCTCTGTGTCATTATTTGGGAGCTGGTGAGCCTAAAGACAGTCTGACAAGAAAGCTTGCTAGAGGTCGTAGCAATATCTCTCGCTCTCTGAAAGACCAATACACACTCTTAACCGCTGAGCCACCTCTCCAGCTCCAAAACTTTAAAAAAGTTATTAAACATTAGATATGAATATCAAAATATTTTAATTTCATCCTTAAAATTAATATTTAAATATAATGTTTATAATAAGTATAATCACTCACAAAGTTATCAGACTCTTTCATTATCAGAGTCTTTGTACATCTTGTAGTATAGAGAGAATGAATAAAACAGACTAACCAATACTTTACAAATAGTCAGACTGCAGAAGAGGATGTAGATTATTTTGACATGGCTTGTACATTCAGATGCAAGCAAATAGCTTCCTGGTTTGTGATGGCGTTGGCACACAGTGGTATCTGTCTGTGGCACACAGTGGTGTCCGTGGCACACAGTGGTGTCTATGGTAGTCCCTTGCCTCACCTTTCACGGTGGAAACAGAGAAGTCTCTTGAGGTCTCTCAGTTAACATCTCATCTTGGGCTCTACCTCCTCAGCCAGGACACTGTGATGGAGTTAGCTGGAGCCCCCTAGTGTGTGATCCATTTCCTAGGCTGCCTCTTCTGCTCCTCCTTCCTTGTCACACGCAGCATCTGTCTTTCCCTGCATCTGTCTGTCAGCATTGCTTCATTTTCCAACTAGCTTTGCTCAGAGTTTGTTTAAGGGGGAGAGAGCAATGGATCTCAGGGTTCTTTAGAGAGATGCTTCAGCATGTTCGTTACCCCTCTCTGAACATCATGGTAGAACTGCAATGACAACTTTTATACATTGGAAGCATACTGGATTTAGAGAAAATATTTCTACCGTCTGACAGATTTATCTTCATTCATAGGAAATGTAATTTTATGTCTTTCATTTTTCTTAATAGCTTTATTTATCTGTCTCCCTTGAATCCCACTTCGGGTATATTTTAGATCAGAATCAATTTTATTGAGTGAAAGTATCTATTTACTACTTTCAAGATTATGTTAAGACAAATGAAATCAATGTAGCTGCCTGAGCTTGGATTACTCTGGCCTCCTCTGTAGGAAACAGAGGACAGAAATGAGTAGTCAAATCCCTTACGTTATTAAAAATGATGCTTGAGCCCAATAAAGCCACTGTCAAGAGGAGCTTGTAAGTCTACTTACAAGACTTACCCTGCAGCATGTCTGTCTTTGCTTCTATGTTGTGCACTGCCACGGACTGAGACCGCAGCAAAGGTAAGGCAATGGTGAACAGTTTTATGGCGCGGTGCTGGCTCTGCTGTTCTATTCTCACAATGCCCTGTGGCTGGCTAGGGTCACAGGGAACCTGACTTTCTCACATAAGGAGGCTGATCTTTACAGAGGCCAAGCAGCAGGCCCTGAGTTCTAATTTAATTGAGCAACTCTACGTTTAGGGCCCTTAGTTATTCTTCACTGGCTGAATGCAGACTCCAGAAATGGCAGAGTTTCCTAATTAAATACCACAGAGTTTTCCCCATTCAGGGAACTCTGTGAGGCAATCAGAATGCACAGATGTTCTTACTAAAGCTACTTCTCAGGGTTTGCCTGATATGGTCTAGCCTCACTAACCCGTAGGAAACAGAACTCTTTCTGCTGCCTAACTTCCCTAATGAATGACTGTCAATTAACTAATAAGCTCTGTAGGAAAACTGCAGTCTGGTTAACTGAGTTTTATAACATCTAATTTGAGAGGCTGAGACTTAAATTTCACATTTGTTCTCAAGAAGACTCATGCCTCAGATCTTAGAGGCCCTGGCTGTCACCGTGCAGGGTCTTTTATCGTCTACACAGACAAGGAGGTCTCGTCAACTTTGCCTCTGCTTTCCTCCCATGTGGGCAGCTCTTCTGTCGGTTTAGAGAGAACACTCTCACCATGAGCTGTGAGAAGTGCTTTCATTAGAGAGAAAGAAAAAAACCAAATAACAAAACACAACCCTTTCAGAGCTTAGAACGAAGGAGTTGGATGAATGGCACCATTTCTAGCGTCTAGGGTTGAAGGGAGTTGCCAGGAGATGTTTGTGTGTTTCCTGAGTTTGGACTGTCCTGGTTTTCACTCTATAGTTCTTTCTCTCACCACCTTCCATTTGGTTTGAACATGGAATGAATGTCCCATTGGCTCATGTGTTGAAGGCTTGGTCCTCAGCTGCAGGTGCTATTTTGGGAGGGTGGCAAGTACTCAAGGGGCCTAGTTACAGGAGGGAGGTTATTGGAGATGAGTCTCTAAGAGCATACTTTCTCCCTAACCCCTTTTTCTTCTGTTTTGTGATTGTTAGGTGCTGTGGGAATGCGTTCAGCCAAGATCCTTTTGGATCCCAGCTCACTGGGGCGTGGTCTGAGGTACAATAAGCACAGCCAGGAAGTGCGCTCGCCCCTTTTTCCTTTTCACTTGGTTGGTGGTCAGAGTTCCCTTTGCAGCTCCTGGCAGCCGCAAAGCAGAGGAGCGCAGCGGTTTCCTTATCGCGAGCATTCCCCAATAAACATTTGTTATCCTTTATTACGGGCTCTCCTGGACCTCCTTAATTATGTGACACTTATGAGGTTAATGACTATTCTACCGCACACAGCCACCTTGACACTCTGCCCCACCACAAGCCCAGCCATGATGGGCAAAGCAGACGGTGGGTGAAACTTCAGAAAACAAAATTCACACTGTTTTCTATTAAACCCTCCCTCAGGCACTTACTGCAGTAACAGCGTGAATAACACCACTTCTTTCAAAGATATACATTCAGTATGTTTTCTGATTCCTTCCCTGCATCTTGAGTTCCCTCTCCTTACAGATGTCAAAGCAACTAACACGTGATATTAGGGAGGTGGCTACGGACATGGAGTTTCTTCTCAATGTTATGAAAGGCAGCAGCATGAAGTGGGGCTAGCACTGTCAGAACCAGGACCAGAGCTTCTGCACCCTGGAGAGCCTTCTGTAGGGGGCACACCCTCATTTCTAGTTTAAGAAATCTTTAGATATCACAAGACTGTGAATCTGTGATCAATCTGGAACTTATTTTGTATTTTTTCTCAACTTGGGTCAAGCAAGCTAACTTCTTTCCACAGTAAAGCTGTGTAAGCAGCACTAATTATCGGAAAGCCCATGCCCATCAGAGACGAGATTAGCGTGTTTCTAGGAACTGTGTTTCTTTCTCCCTTTTTAACTTGCTGGATCTGCGTGCTTCCATCACACACCTTACAGGAAGTAACTTTGTGATTACTACTAGCGTTTGCTAATGCAACCATTGCAGTTTGCTTCATCTTCCTTAGAACTGCTTTGGCTCTTCTTGGCTACTTGAATTTTCAAGTAAATTTTAGAATCATGTCACCAATACCCACAAAGAAACGCGTCAGAACTGTGTCTGAGACTGAAATATAATTAATTGTGTTAATTATAGATCAATTTAAGAAGGACTGAATTCTTAAATATCTAGTCTTCCAATCCTTGGATATGTTTCAGCTTCTTAAAGTTACATTTGAATACAACGGAATAATTCCAATATTTACTCCTAAAACTTTGTGGATGGAATGGTAAATGAAACTTGGTTTTATTTATCTGACTTTGATGTTGGTGTGCAAAAACATATCTGATTTCGTATATTACACAAGACCCAAAAAAAAGCTATTAGAAAAGATAAAATTGACATTAAAATGAACTACTTTTATTACCCACAAACACACACAGAGAAAAGACAACCCAGACTGTGAGAGGAAAGAACTTACAATGCATGTGACTGAGAAATCGACACAGAATAGAACAAGGATCTACAAATCAGTAACAAGAAAAAACTTAGAAATAAGCATGCCTCAGGAAAGGGCCTCACATAACCAGTAATCATGTGTATAGGTTCACTTTCTATTCGTAAGAGAAATACGTATGAAAACCATCATATGAATTTCTACATTCCCAGAGCACAGCTGAAATTTAAAAGGGAAATAACATGAAATATGAGGCACGGTCCTCAGACAGCTAGAAATTCACACTGGAAAAATTCGTCTGTGAAATAGGTTGGCCTTTCCTCTTCAGGTTTTCATCTATGTGTCATGTGAGCAGCTCCACTCTGGGCTGGGGTCCAACAGAAAAGAACTTACATTCTCTGAGGGACAGGGATGAACGCCTAACAGGATGATCTAAGAAATGCCAAAGGCTAGAAATAACCTTCTACACTGCAGTAGGATGAACAAAGTGTTGGGATGCTCCACGAAACACTACCAAGAAAACGGAGAGAATGATAATCTAAGCACCATATCTGTGTGACTAACACAAGGTATTATGACAACAACAGCAGAGGCTGGATGTGGTGAGTTTTACACTTACGTAAGACACAGGTGTATCTAACGAGGTACTGGAAGCCAGGGAGCAGTTTAGAAGTGTTAGAAGCAGGAGGCTAGAGACTACAAGAAGGGAATAAGATGGGGGTACGATGATACTTTCCTTGCTCTGCTTGAGAGCTAAACCACTGTGTACGGTTTGTGAAAATTCACAAAAGATCATGTTTGCTATTTATGGATTTTCTGTATGTAAATTACAGGTCAACAAAAAGGAGAGACATTAGAAAAATATCATGAGCTTTAGAAACATTAACATTCTCTCTCTCTCTCTCTCTAAAAGACAGGGTTTCTCTCTGTCACCCTAGCTGTTCTGGAACTTCCGCTGTAGATCAGGCCGGCCTTGAACTTAGAGTCCAGCCTGCAGGAAAGTGGGAACAGGAGGGAAGTGAGATTCCAAACAGCGCCTTACCTGTGTGATAGAATTTCCCTGAAAATCCAAGGTTGAATGTGAAGTTTGTGATTTGAGCACGCAAGAGATTCTGAGTGTCAAGCAGGGCCTGAAATGCAGAATGAACAAAAGGTGTTTCAGAGTGACAAGGTACCAAAAGGCTTCATCCACATTCAGAGAATAAAACCACTCTATTTAAAACGAAGGGTGGAGTCTGGATGTTGAGATCACACAGAACATACATGCATACATGTACTAACATATTAGCCCATAAGAAACCAGTAGAACAAATGTTGCCTGTAGAAGACAAGTAAAAGGAAAAGTTTAATCCATATGTATAAAGGAAGTAGAGTATAATATATCTCTTTTTACCCATCAGGGACATAGAGAACCGATTTCAAAAGGACATTCAATTTAAATGAAACTTGGCAAGAACATATGTGGGAAAAAAAACACACTGGCATTTCTCAGCGATATCTTTGTTCTTCAAAACACAAAATTCTTAACTTTTAAGTCTGAGCTTCCCACAGATAATGATTGCTATTCAAAAGAAGATATCAAATCTATTATTTGCCCATTAAAACAGCTATCCATGGTGGTTTATTTTGACTGACAGCTGGCGTGGAAGGGATAATTCTGTGGGATTAATAACACACACCTCTGATTGTGTCTATGAAAGGATATGCTAGTGGGACTAGCTGAGAGAAAGATGGTCTCCTGAGTACGTACAGTGTCACTCAGGAGATTGGGACTAAGTTGGAAGAGACGAGAAAAAAAATGGAGCAAGTCAGCTGGTGTAGGCCGTCTCTCCTTTGTGCTTTTGCCCTTTCTGGCTGTCATAAACTCTGTTCTCATGCATGCACCGTGAAGAACTGGAGCCATAAGCCAAAATCAATAGCCCCTCTATCTAAGCTATGGCAAGCATTTTGTCAGAGGAGAGAGTATGCACAATGCACTTCTCATCAGGAGTGGCCCGGGAAGCATGGTTTGGTTTTATGTGTAAATTCCACTGTCTCTGAATATTTAGTGGACTCTCATTGTTTCTTTTCCTTTACTGTCTGATTCTTATGTAAATCCCAATGACTCCAATTACTCAGTCCCTCCCTCGCTCCCCCACTCTCTCTCCTGCTTGTGTCCTTAGAACTTAGTGTTCATCTCAATCAGACACAAACAGCGCGATTGGTTTTCAAAAAGATCTCGATTAACACTTCACTTTAGGTTAACACTTCACTTTACCCATGAAGAGACTGAGGCAAAGAGATCCTAAATGAAAAGCACAGACATAGCGTGGCTCTCACATTGGCCTTCTATCCAGATGCTTTTTCCTCTAGGACATCCAGGCCCTCAACTAACCGGATGCTCTCAACAGCAGAACTGATGCTCTGAAGCACCTGAGATGCCTTTGTGCAGAGTCTCCGTCTTCATTCGGTAACCACCCGATGGTCGCCTGCCTCATCAGAATGCAACCTATGTTCCTCTGTGCGCAGGCAGAGGACGAAATGCTTTCTTCCCAAAATTAAACTCGTCTAATCAATCACTGATTACTGAAATGTAAGTACGTAATTGTTTCCCTAACATTTCTTTGTTTGCAAGAACCAACTCTCTCGTATGCCTGACTGAATGATACACTATGTGGGTCTACATGACGCTGATGGATGGAGGGTCTGCCAGTGGATTTCTACACTGAGCTATGACGGTACAAACCTTAATTGATGCCAGTGTCCCTGGACACAGAGAGAGCTTGTTCTTATAAGGGCTGGGCGTAGGATGGGCACAGGAAGAAAAACGGGATGGGTGAGTGTGCAGCAGTGAGGAAGGGGATTTCTGACTTCTCCCAGGAGCTGACGAGCTAGACTCTGTTGCAAGGAGGGTGCTGAACGGGTATAAGGTCTGCGCCTTTTCCTTTCAACATCTGGGGAAGTTACGGTGCAGTCTTTGAGAGGACAGTCTTGGAGGTCAGCCAGTATTAACTGGAATTCTGGACCTCGCCCTTTTCCACTTTTAGGCATGTTATTAAACTTTCAAAGCCCGAGTCTCATCATTGTTAAAGCCGGGTAATAACACTCACTTCAGAGCTCTATCTGAAGATTAAACGAGACAATTCGTTTATGCTGTTGGTGCAGTGACTGGAACAGAATCCGTGGGCAGCACTGAGCATTGCTGTTCTTCCGTCTCGGGTGCTGCATGCATCACTACAGCTGACACAGTTGTTACCTTTGACTTCTAGAAGAAAAGCTGTGGTACTTGCTTTAGCTTTGTCTTCATTTGTAAAGTTAAGACAGTCTTCTAACGCAGAGTATAATGAGGGTGAATCACACATGCAGGAGTGGTTAGAACAGTTTACTATAAAGCCATTAAAATATCTCTATCT